CACACTTACAATCAGATTCTAGGTTCAATTTTCAGCACTCTGTGTCTTGTATCTACTAAGAGATTAGAGTGAGCTAGAACTTTTCACAAAGCATGTTGTACAGTTCGAAACTCCGAGCCTATCATGTCCTTTTTGAGGAATTTCCAGTACTGTAAGGAAAAGCAAGGTAACCCAACGGTCCTTAACGATTATAATTAAGCCCACACTGATCAGGTATAATACTGTCTGAACTTTCACTTTTTCTAACTAGGCACAGGTTAAAGTGCCAACAATTGTAATGTCACAAGATGCCAGATAAGACCCTGCTTACCACCAGTAATGGAGTTCCTTTTGCTTTCACAAAATACTAACTCTATAACTTCAGAGTATTGCCATCCCGAAGGTCTACTTCCTAAGGTGCCTTACTTGTGATGCAAATGGTCTGCATCCATGGTACCTGGAGGCTGAGAGAAAACTGAAGTAATGTTTATTTATTAGTACTTTATTGAGGGAAGCAATCCTAAAATGCACAGGAAGGGAAGGGAAGCAGGAAAGGAGGGAAATAAATACAAAGTTGTGTGTTATTGGGTGACCCTATCGTAAGGGGAAAAAAACACTGGCAGCTGCCCAGTCACATTTGCTGGATGGGTCAAGTGGGACCACTGCACTCCTTTTGCTGGATGGCTCTTGGCTTTTATCTTTCATGGTCAAAATTTGTACATACAGATCTCGCGAGCCTTGATATGGGATGCGCTCTGAGTCCAGAGGGGTGAGAGGAGCCAGTGCCTCCTTAGATCCTGTCATGACAGAGCCTGGAGCTCACCTTAAGGGAAAACTGCATGGATTCATGATGTCAAGAAAACATAGGAGAAGGAAGCAAGTACCTCTCAGAAGGTAGACAGGTGGGGTTCTGTGTGGACATAGAGAAATGAATAATGAGGACCAAATGAGTAATATAGGCTTTCCAACTTGCAAAAGAGCAGGGTGTCCAGAGGTATTTCTGGGTCCCAGCTGTGTGACTGTAGGTTAGTTACAACCTCTCTGAAGCTGCTCTCAGAGCTGTGAGGACAGGATGATGTATAGGGTTATGTTAAGTGATGAAGAACTCTGCATAAAAACGATGGAGGTTGTTTTCACAGTGACCATCACAGTTGTGCTTATAAATATTGAGTTCAGCCTACAAAGCAGGAACCGAAGAGCATTAGGTTGAGTGAACTAACTCAGTCCCACAAGGATAAATATTGTATAAAACCATTATTGTAGAATGAGTATAAGGATCCAAGAGAGGTGGGAGAGGCTGGAAGCAGAGGGATGTGGATGTGCAGGGGGAGGGGAAGATTAACCATAGGGTTGTACAATTTTACGAGGACAGGGTGAGGGAAATGGAAAGAATTTGTTCTTAAAAACAATGTATTCATATTTTTAAAATAAACTAGTGTAAAATTAAAAAAAAATCCAGTGTTAATTTGACCATAGTATTTAAGAAATCAAAAGGTATGTTGTATTAGGCAAATCTGCTGTCAAAGACTTCTTTAAAGTGCTAAAATACAAGGACATTAGTTTAAAAACTGAAGTGCATCTGCCCCAGAACACCGTATTTTTCACTTGCTTCCTATGCATCTGAAAGTTGGGAAGTAAATCAAGATGACAGCAAAACTGATGCTTTGAATGAGGGTGTTGGCAAAGAATGCAGAATGTGGCACAGACTGGCAAAAGAGCAAACCAATCTGTCTGGCAGGAATTGCCACCAGGCTGCTCCTGAGAGGCAAGTACGGCGAAGCTTCATGTCACATACTTTGGTCCTATAGTCAAGAAGTGGTCATTCCTCGGAAAAAGACATCACACTGGACATGGAGGGTCTGAGAAAGGGGAGAAGACCTTCAAGAAGCTGATTAACAAAATGACTTCAACAAGGGGCTTGGGCATGGCAGAGGTCATGAGGATGGCACAGAATAGGGCAACGGTTGATCTGCTGCTCCGAGGGGCACTGTGAGTTGAAGTGGACTTGATCGCACCTGAGAACAGTACGGCCACAAGCAATCAGTAGTGATTCACTGTTCCCTCTGACTCCCTTGCTTCAAAGCTTTTGGTGAGAGAAAGTGATATAGAAAGCCCCCAGCTTTTTCTTCCCACCCTTTCTCCTCCAAAAGCAGGTCCTTTAAGAGCAGAATATGCAGTTCACTGTATTATTTAATTGTCCTCTGTCCTATACCCGCCCCTAAGGGCTCTATCTGGCCTTTGATAAGTGCTCACAGACACGATGCATATAATAAATGAGTGAATGGGTGGGTAAGTGAATGAACAAATGCTTTCACATCTTTGCCTAGGGGGTGCCCAACGCCACCTCAGAAGCCCATTCCCCCTAGAAAAATCTTTGTTCTTCCCTCCCTCTGTACTCCATTCATGTCTCCAACACCAGTAAAAACCAAAAGCCTTAAGAGACTTTGCAGTAGGACTATATGTCATTTGAGTGCAACAGTTGGTTTCTCAGGGTATTGCCAGACCTTTCTTCTGACGCACCACTGGGAGGACCCAAACATCTAACCCTTCCATCAGGAGTCAAGCATATAGGCAAAGGGTTAATAATGTGCCCAGTGGCTAACAGAAAAGTTGGGGGCCCCCACCACAGCGCAGACCCCTTTCTCACACCAGAGGTCACAGTGGGAGGTCAGTGGTCAGTGGAAGAGGGGCATTTATTATCTTTCATCTGACCAGACCTGGCGCCCTGGGAGAGAAAAGGCAGGGTGCCTACCCGCTGACTCCCAGTCGCCCACGGGATCAGATGTGAGTCTGCAAAACCCAAAGAGGTGGAAGCAGAGCTCTGAATAGGAGGTTTGCCTGGAACCTGGTTTGCAAAATTGCCACGAGAATGGCTTCGGCTCATCTCAGCCCTCCTGTACCAGAAGGAAACACGGCCCACGCCAGCGCCATCTTCGCCACCTCTGAGCCTCCAGTGTCAACCCATCTCATTTTCACTGACCTTCCACTTGAACAAGCACGATGTTGTTCTTTTCTAGGAAAGACTAAAGCAAATCGCTTTTCCTTAGTGTGTGTGATTTACTTGAGGGTGCGGATGGAAAGGTACTCAGAAAATGGTTCTTCAATGGATGAAACAGGGTATCTGCTCCTCCTCTCTGAGTCCTGAGCCCTGCCACACCAGCACAAACTAAAAATAGACTTGCCAAGGCCTGGGGGCCTCTGCAAAGCTAGCAAAGTGCTTCCACCAGCGCTCAGGGACTGGGATTGCGGTGGTGAAAACAATGCAGCGGGGCTGCTTCCCTGAAAAGCGACTTGTTGATAATCTCGCCTCTGGCAGAAGAGTTTGCAGTTGGTTGAGGGACGCGGCGGAGGGGAGTTCTTCCCCAGAGCTGTGGGCATCTCCTTTCCTCTCCCGCTGAGCGATGGAGAGGGCCCGGGTCCAGCTACACTGAGGGCCAAGGGCCCGCGCACAGCCAGGGGCAGGGGAGGCGGCCTGTACCTCCAGCCCTGCAACGGGAGAGCTTCCGGGCCTCCAGACCTGCCGGGACGCAGAAGGGGTCTCCCCAAATCACTCCTCGCCCGCTTCCTGCCGTGTGGGGAGGAACTTGGGGCCGGGAAGGAGGGCTGGGCAAGCCGGGAGTTGAGAGCCCTAGTGCTCCAGGGCGAACAAATAACCGCTCCAGCGCCCACTACACAATAGCCTCGCTAGATGGAGACTATGCATGTGAACTTCACGGAATCACTGCAGCGGCGCCGGCGGCGGCGGCGCGGGCGGGAGCGCAGCCCGGGCGGGAGGC